CCCCGGACGCTATTTTTAGCACAAAAAGGAGGACATGTCCGGGTAAATCCGGACGAATGGTAACCCTACAGTATTCCAACACACAGAATGTCACCTGCAAGCATATTGGTAGCCTGTGCAGAATGCCATGCACAGATGCAATATGCTGTGACTGATGAGGTAGTCAAAAGGGTGGTAGCTGCATTCTACTGTACTTGCTGCTTCTGAATACCTTCAAAGATAGCCCCAGTTAAAGTGATAGGCAGAAGCTGGGCCTTGAATAGAAAAATCCATGGATTTCTGTGGCAAGGTCATCATCTAATAGGAAATTATGCAATCTTCTGGCTAGACCATCATGACAGAAGGCAATTTTGGCCACTGCCACTGCCTGTTAATTCAGGAAGAAGGATGAGGCTAGTAAATCCTCAATGAGCTTAAAATAGCTGGCTTTCATTGTGATATTCAGTTCCATCAGAATTTGGGATGAGAAAGATGGTTCCCTCTGGGTCTAATGAAAAGGAGACGGAGTTGAGTATCATCAGTATCGCCAATACACGGAGCTGTAGCACAGGAAACCATCATTTGACACTGAAAAATCTTAATTACATCCCAGCACTGGCTACCAATATTCCCTTTAAGGAAAAGATTATGGAGAATTTTCTGTTTTTTCTCCGCCATGTACAGCAAATCTTCGAGTCCTCCTATTATCTTGATCTTGCTCAAACTCAGTGTTAAACCTGGATATGGCTCATCAGCTGTGTTGGTCTCACAGGGCTATTCTCCTCCAGGGATAATTCTCAAGTGTTCTCACTGTGGATTTTTTTTAGGACTATCAGATGCCTTTTATGCCATTGATGACAAAGTGGTGTTGATACAGTCCACAGAAATGGCAAATTCGTGCTTGAGTGGCTCTGTTCTTTTCTCTTTCAGAGGACTCAGAGGGCAGTACTGGGTGATTTACCCATCTGCCCCAGTGCTTTCTTTCAGGTGCAGCACTGCACAGTTCTATTCTGTCACCTGTTTGATATGCATGTGAAGTCATTAGGAGAGCTAGTGAGGAAGCACGGGCTGTCATGTCTATAAAATAAAAAACAGAGCAAGCTCTATGTTTCCATTTCATCCAACTCCTATACTGCTATTGATCAAATTAGTGAGTGTCTTGTTGAGATTGGAATTCAACCAAGGGTAAACCCAGGGGTTTTGGTGGAGTTTTAGAGAACCATGTCTGTAAGTAAGGAGCTACATTTTAGATTTGACATCCGATATTCTCATTGAAGCGGATACAATTATAAAACAATTAGATTAGGATACATCATCCTGTGTTTGTGTCAACTCATTGCTCTACCAACAAGGAAATAATCCACTCCCAGTCTAGATACTCTTGAGTACTTGGAAGCCTGGACAGCTGACATCCTTGAGAACCCTCATAGATATCTGTAAGGAGAAGGTTTTGAGCTCGAACACACACCCACATTTTTAGAAACTCCTTCATGTTCCTTTAAAAAAAATTACAAAGTTTTTTATTGTTAATGTCATTATGTTGGTAACATGAGATACAGTAACAGGGTGTGCTATTCCTTTAAGGGAGGCTACAGAAAATAGATTTAAAAATCATATGAATTTTTAAATTAATTATATAGATTGACCTGTTTCTAGAAAAATCTTTTCTAATGCTAGTCTCTTGATACACTTAGAATATGTGTTGCATATTGCAAAATGGACCTGGAGCCTCTTTCTCTCACTGTTCTTCTGTTTTGATATTTTGTTTTTGGGTTTTTTCCTGTTTTCCATGTCCTAATCATTAGCGCTGCACCAAATTCACGGTCCATTTTGGTCAATTTCACGGGCATGGGATTTTAAAAATCACAAATTTCATGATTTTAGCTATTTATATCTGAAATTTCACGTTGTTGTAATTGTAGGGGTCCTGACCCAAAAAGGAGTTGGGAGGAGGGTGCAAGGTTTTGTAGGAGAGGTTGGAGTACTGCTACCCTTACTTCTGCACTACTACTGGTGGTAGCACTGCCTTCAGAGCTGGACAGCTGGTGTGTGGCAGCTGCTGGCTGGGAACCCAGTTCTGAAGGCAGAGCCACTGCCAGCAGCAGTGCAGAAGTAAGGATGGCATGGTATGGTACTAATCATGCACTTTTTCTTGGCTCATGCTGTAAGCAATCTTGCAGTTCATTTCTGGGTGCAATATAACATTGATTAACATTATACCTACTGATAGAGAAGGGAAGGAAACTGCATTTTAGTAAGCATAAACTATGATTTTTCTACATTTCCAGTGACAGCTGTACTTTTACATTAGGAATGCTTATGTTCTTAATTTTTAAAAAGATATCATTACATTTGAGATTTCTTGACTTTTTAAATGCATTCTTTATTTAAAACTAACTTCTTTCTAAATCTCTTTAGTTTATATCTAGTTTATGAGACCCATTCCTGGTTTTCAGCTTCTGGGAAGTGGTTGGAAATTATGGCTCCAGTTCATCAAGGAACTTAGGTGTATGCCTAGCTTTAAATCCAGGAGTAATTCCATGGATTGTAGCCTATTTACTTGGCCTTTGTGTGTATATGAAACATTAAAGCTACATGTGATAAATATATAGTTAATACTAGAGATGGGCCCTAGCCAAAACCACAGGTCTGAATACCCCAGAAACATAAATCTAGATCTGAACTTTATGGGCCTGGGATGAAATGTTCAAAAGTGCCTAAAGGCCTGTGATAGGGTGTATAAACCCTACACTGGAACTGAGCAACTCTGGGCCCAGGTGGCCCTGCCCATCTCTACCTGCTCCAGCTGAAGATGTTCCAGCTGAAGATAGAGTTTAAAAGGGAGCCAGACAGCTCAGAAGAGGACTCCAGGGCAGAGAGAGGGACCTACCCTGACAGTTCCTGGAGAAGGACAATACAGAAACCTTTCCCTCAGAGAAGGAGCCTGCTTGATAAGCCCAAACTGGCTGAAGTTTCAGTTATTCTCCCTTTCTTTAATATGGTGTCAAACTGTAAAACTTTGGTGGGGTAGTGAGTGGTAGGAAGTGGCCCCAGGAGGCAGCCTTAAGGCTCTCCCAGGTGCTGAACATTGTGGCTTCTTGCAGAGTCCTGGGATGGAACACAGTGGAGTGGAAGGGCCTGGGCTCACCTGCCAACCACCTTGCTAGAGAGGGCACAAAACCCCTCTCTTCCAGACTCCCTCTGAGGAAAACCCAACGAGACTAAAGACTTTGCAACCTCCACAGCAGGGATTGAACACCCGCAGGTTGTCTTCCACCCCTCTACACTTCCCCCTTCGAGAGGGCATGGGGCCTGATATCTTCCTTCAGATTCTGTTACCCATGAGAGGCTACGGCTAACTGTTGACTTGACCTGAGGGTCGGGTCGACACCCACCAAAAGGCAGACAGCCATAGGACGTGATAGTGGCCAGTGAGAGACATTGGAGGTGGAGTGAGTAGAGACCTAGTACCCTGACCACTAGGTGACACTGCTAGTGAGAGCTGCCCATTGCAGTGCCTTAGGAGCTTACATCCCACTTTCAAAAGTGCCTAGCTCACTTTTGAAAGCAGACATCATCTCCTAAGTTATTTACGTACTTTAGGATATCTTAACCCTGATCCATTTGAAAAGCTGCACCTCCTTCATTTACTTCCCCAAGCATGAGTTCAGGATTTCACATTCCCTGCATAATAGCTGATATTATTATAAATATCTTGGGCCATGTACAGCAGTACAGAAAAATGTTATTCTTCTCTATTTTAGGTGTTTGTGGCTTCATCAGCTCTGGTATACAAGACATACAAGTTTTGAATTCAGACATTCTTAGGTATATGAAAGAGGAAGTGATTTTAAATATTGCATTGTGAAGTGTATTTTTTAAGTACATCAATAAATACATTCTCTTAAGGAATTGAGATCTTACAGTTTCTTAATTTTTTCTTTTTTCTTTTTTTGTCTTTTTAAAGATTTGGAGTTCATTTATGAATGGAAAATGCTAATTGAACCAAATGGGCTAAATGTACTGCAGCAGAAACATGCATAGGGAAATTTTTATTTATTTACTTAAGTTCTACTTTATAGCCTCCAGCATCTGTGATTAGTGGGGACAGACTCACACAGATACAGGGAATTTATGCAATGCTCTTCCTCTTTCTTTTTCTATTCCTGATTAATCTGTTCCTCCTAGGCACAGTCTGGGGGTAAAAATTATATTGATGAATGTCAATGTTCCAATATTAGTGGTGGAGGACAAGTACCTTGATCACTAATAGTGACTCCAGGTGCAGCTCAATATTGCCAAAGTAAGATGTTCCGGAATAAGCGTGATCTATGATGCTCCATTTCTTCTCTCATCCTGTTAGTAAAGCAAAGTTCAGTCATTTTGTGCACTGTTCTTGCAAATAGGTTTTGCATCATCTGAAATACAAAGGCTGCTGGTTATTCTAGCAAATTGTAAACTACTTTATTTTGTTCTGTCAATCTAATCCTTAATAGTAGAAGAAGGTTCTTAAATATTATGGTTATGAAAGATAAATAGATACCTAGATAGAGTTGCAGACTGAGTTTCTAGGGCTGCAGTTCTGTGGATATAAAATATAAGGATCGCAATGTTTCATTAGAACATAACTCAATCCAAAAGTGTGATGCAGATGCCAGCATTCATGTAGGATCATAGCCAGAATTTAACCCTGAATTATGCGTTTGGGAAGAACAGCCAGTGCCTCTCAGGAGTGCAGAACTACTATTTGGGGTAAGAGATTTGATGAAGGCAGAGCTGACTATTTAGCTCATGTCAATAGAAATGTCTCTGTCTTCATTCTCTGTCATTTCTTCCATGCAGCTAGGAAGCTGAAATGTGAATGTTTTCCAATTAAGCAAATACTGTGTTTTTGAAAGTAGAGATTTAGAGCCAAATTTTCAGCCTGTCCTTCACCACACCTCATTTTTGTGTTTTCACAAACAAATAATTATTGTGGTGAGATTTGTGTGCATCTATGTAATTACATTAAATTCATTTTGATATCTGTGTGTCAGATTTGGGTGCTTAATCAGGGTCAATTTTCATCAGCTCAATCAAGTAAATTTAACTGTGAGTCCAAACTAGGAGTCTCAGAGCTACAGTTTGAGGTCTCCCTTGGTTCAGGTTCACTGCACTGAAATATCACAAGCTGTTATTAAGAATTTCCCCCCCCCAAAAAAATCTTACCAAATTGTCTGGTAACTTAGGCTGCTCTTGAAGCAGATCCAGAAAATAGACTCTGTGCATGCATGATGGAAGCAAAACCAGAGATGGGGGGGGGGGAGAGGGGGGCGGGGAAGAGAGTCAAAGCCAGGATTTCAAACCCAAGCACCGCAGAAATTTAAGGGGGTTGACAATTGAGGTTTTGGTTCAGTGTTTGCTTAGCTGTTACGGAGAACTGAGCAACATCCGTCCTACAATGGTAGCTTTTTACAGCACAATGAGCAGCCTTCACTTCATTTAAATGGACAGTTTTTTGCACCTTTCCCTTCTTATAAGACATTAGCAGCTAGGAATAGGATGAAGCATTTTTGCTAAAATTCAATCTAAGTAGACTTTTAAATTGTGTATGCTGAAGAGGGTAAATTTTGCCCTTAACTGCTGGGCTGTTCAGGAAGAAAGAGGTGCAGGCTGGAGTGGTGCCAGCCCTGGCTTTGTGCTGAGGTGTACTCTGCTGCTGCTTTACTGGAAGCAGAGGCCCATATCACCAAAGGGATTTGGGAGTTAGGTGTCTAAATCCCTTTGAGGATCTGGGCCGCAGTGCCTCTCCTAGCATTTGCATGCTGTGCACCAGGGCATATGCACTGGTTGGCTGGGATTCTGGCTGTGCCCCTGGGGGTGCAGGAGCATCAGTGAGCATGGTAGTTAGGCTGCTTTCCTAGCACAGCAGCATTCGGCATCCATCTCTGTTGCTGTAGGGGATGAGGGAAGAGAGAACAGGCTGTTTACATCCTCTCTGTGACCCAGCTCACCTGTGAAATCTAAGGCAGGATTTGGTCCCTAAGATTGGATGATTATTGGTGGTGCCAGGTACGATATTGGATAATTACCACATTTTCCAGACAGTTTTGTTAATTAAAAATTACCAACTTCTTTAAATCTCTCTAGTGAGGTTTTTTTGGTTGTTACGTGGTCATTACTTATTGTGCTTATTGCCTTATTAAATTTTTGTGTTGGATATACAAGATGCACCCAATGAGCCTCATTTAATGCTCCTCTTTTCTTCAAAAGGGCAAAGAAGTATTAGGGAGTGGCAGATAGTGAAGAGGTGGGTGTTAAATACCTGGCCATACTCTCAGTAATCTACAGATGATGGAACAACCTGATCTGATATCAGAAGAATGGGGGGGTGTTGATACCTGAAGAAATTATCTGAAAAATGATTGATTAGAGATTTGGGAAGATATGTGGGTATGTCATGCCAATCCATAGCAGCCCACGCTGGCCCCTAGCATGCGTGCCTGGGTCAATAGGATTCTTTGGAGCCCATTCCATGAAAAGGATGGGGTGGAAGTATTGAAGAGCAGGATTCTTTTTCACCTACCCCTCTGGAAGTGTTGAAATCTTGGTTCCATTGTAATGCATGGGAATTCTGCCATTGACTTTAATGGAATCAGGATATAATTCAGGTTCCCTCCCCCACATCACCCTGCTCTCACTCCTGTTTTGTGCAGTTAGGAGGAGAAAGAAAGCTCAATGAATCAAACTCCAGGCTTTTGTCAAAGTGCATGTGCCAACACTTTTATCTCTGATCGGAATTGAAACATTTTGGGAAAACGTGTCAATCTTGATGAAATTTCATTTCAAAATAAAAAAAATGAAAAAAGCATTTTGAAAACATTGAAAGGTCTCGTTTTGACATTTTCAGAATAAAATGTTTTGATTTTTTTCCAATAACTGTTAAAAGGATTTTTTTGTTTAAAAAAATAAACAATAAAAAGGATAAAATTAAAATGAAACTTTTTCGACTGACATGAAACAAAATTATTTTTGAATTTGTGGGAAACTTTGAAATGGGCTTTGAACTACTTTGAAATGGCAAATTTTTGAAATAATAAAATTTCCTTGAAAATGGGGAATCTGGTTCTGTCACAGCTCTATTCTTAATGCACCTGCATAATGTGTGCACACATGCACAGACTATATAGGGTATCACTGGTGGTGTAAATATCAATAATGCCTAAAGTGCCTTCTTCCTAATATTTGACTATTATAAATGCTGTGCCTTTATAAAGATGGAGTACCTTTTATAAAGAAATGAAACATGTAACAAAGGTAATGTGTTTTCCATTCTCCTAGTTTTTATGCTTATGATAACATAGTAGACATCTGGAAAAGACTCAGGAGGACTCAATCAATTTTTCTTTAATTCTGCGAAGGTCAGATCGGAAGAGCACACTAGAGCATAGAGTTGTTGACCTTTTCAGAAGGGAAAGGTTAGGACCCACACTTATGCAGTCTCCACCAATAAAAGTGCAGAATAAGTCACTAAAGTCCCAACCTTCAGGAATAAAGTGCTGTTTTGCAATGTTTCACTAGTTGAGTTTTCAGCACAGGGCAGAAAGGAATGTCAGGCATTACCATACAGGCTATGATGTTTATATAAATGTTCCATTATTTATGATGCAGGGAACCCAGATACTTCAGAGCAGCAACAGGAGCATTTTGGTGCTGGCCTCTTTACTTATTTAGTGAACTTCTTGGTGCTGAACCATGCTGGATTGACAACCCTGTAGTCAAAGATCCTTCATTTATCAACAGAAGAAAGACAGTGGTGGTGTAGGCTGCCCTACTGTCCCTGTCCTCCCCTACTGTTCCTTAGGGATCACCTGTAGGGGCACAAGATTAGTTCACTGGCTATTCAAGCATTGGCCTCTCTTACTAAGACAAAATAGATCCCAGTGAGGCGGTGGGTTTTTGTCACATGGTCACCTGTCACCTGGGAACTAAACTGAGGCCAGCAACTCTTAACAGCTGCCACAGGGAAACAACTTCCAGTCACTACCAACTTAGTTTAGATTTGCACCAGTGACTTATAGTTGAGAGGCTCAATAGCTTACCAATCACCTGATCCAACCTTTCACCTTACTTTTTTGTTTTTTGATAATAGTTACCCAAAGGGTTTTGAATGTTCAATTTCTACCTTTAGCAGTGGCTGTGTTAAGAGCTTGGTGATATTCTTGGTATTCTCAAGGGCCAGTCACAATCATGTCCTTAATCTGCAAGATCTGATGACATGCCTATTTTGTAAACATGAGGTATAAGTGTTCAATAATAATAATAATAATAATCAATTAATAATCTAATGTCCTCTCCAAGCACTCAATCATGAACTGTTCCATAACTATCTTGTACATTAACTGAAGTGCAAAAAAATAAAGATGTGCAACAAATCATGCCATTTATTCATTACTGATGAAGGGTCAATTATTCTGATATTTCCTACTGTATTTTATCTGCATGTTCAAGATCAGTGATGTTCTCAGAAGAACCGCTGAAGGCAATGATTTGGACCCCTAGCTATGGTCGGTTCTCTGCCCTCACAGTGATTTTAATCTGACTTTAACAAACCTTACTAAATTTTATAGCCAGCCATGTGCGGCATTGAAGAATAAACAGGATGACTTGAGCTGAGGGGTGAAAGCGTGGCTTTGGGATATTGTATTCCCTTTAGCTATGTAATACAGTAATTTCAGTAATACAAAAATAGGATGGCCTTTGCTCTACGCCACTATCTCTAAAGAGTTAGTCAATCACTCTACTGTTGTCTTTTGGCAGTACTATAATTTCATCCCTCTCTGCTTCTTGGGTTGCTTTTTTCTGATCATGTGTCTGGCTGAGGAGCATTATGTGACAAACTTATAGAGGAAGCAGATGATCAGATATTAATGGCTTTATTTAGAGAAGAATTATATGCAACGGGAAACTGCTTTTGATGCAGCCTTCGAGCAAATAGTCTGTACCTTGCCTCAAAAACAGTCAGTTGAAGTGCCTTAGTGCAAGGGAACGTGCCTGTGACTTGAGCAGTGTGAATAACTGAGTTTTTTTAAGTCAGGTGACTGAATCAAACAATCAGAAGAAAACAAACTTTTGGGGGAGTTGACCTGAGACTAATGTCTTCCAAATGTTTTGGTCATGCAAAAAAGCTGAAAAAAATTCATTTTGGGTTGAAAGAAACATTTAAACATTTAATTCTACAGAAAATGTTTCATTTAATTTCATTTCACTTTGGATTTAAAATCCAAAACTAAATGCATTTCTAATTGAAACATGTCAAAACGAATCTGCATTTTTTGCAAAAAAAAAAAAAAAAAAAAATACACAAAAAATTCCAC